TATTTGTAACATATAAAATGTAATTATGTTATAGCGCAATAAAGTATAATATTGTATCTAATAGTTTATTATTTTATTACTTAAGAGCCTGCTCAATTTTTAAGTGATCTGCATGAGGATAATATTGTTAGGTACCTGTATTATTTTCAAAAATTCTATTTACCCGGCCGAAGTCGAGCCGAATTATTAGGAATAAATAAATTGCAAAACTGTTTTCTAACAAAATTAGCTATATATGCAAATACACATGATTATGGATTTATGTGCAATTCGTTCGCTGTTACTGCCATAAATCTGGAATAGAATGGGTACGTGTGGCATCAATCTACACAGGGCACCGGGTAAGCTTATATTAAAAATATATTTTTTTCAATTCTACACATATCAACAAATTCAACTATATTTATGTATAATTTAATACTCAAATAGATGTATTACAACATATCGTTACGTTTAATATCCCGACAATCAGAACAAACCTAGCGAGACCTACCTAACCTAACGAGAAAACAATCGCCAATGACGTAAGTTGATGAAAGGAGCAGCCGATTTCTATACAAGAGACATTGTATAGACAATACGGTGTCTATTGTATGTATATTGTGGGTGTAATAAACAGCGGTAGAAAATCTATTGTGTCGTCCTTTACACCCCTTATACAATATTATGTATTGTAGCTATTTATAACAAAAATTACCTTTGCCTACAGGTACGGCTGGATCTTAAGAATACACTTACAATTTTTATTAGCTGTTTTTATTATTATTACACAAACATTGAGTACGTTTCTTGAAAATTAGTATTGTCAAATAAATTCGTTTTCACAGCTATTTCAATGTATAATAGCGGCTGCCCTTTTAGAAATATTGAAAGATAAATATTAAGCCATTGTGTTAACGAAACCCATAGTTATCTCTCTAAAAGGCGTGGAGATAGTCTAAAAAGATTGTTGGCTAATGCAATTAGGTATAGAGACATATTACTTACTATCTTGGTGTTAACGCATGAATAGTAAAATGGGCAAAGGGATAAAATAATATTATTACGTACAACGGTGTTATTTACGAGTTGACGATCAATATCTATCTCAAAACAACTATCTCAACCTATCACTGGTGCCCCGCCAACATATACCGATTGTGCAGGCGGGATCACATTCCATAATCATCCATAAAATAGAGGACACCCATAGTACCCAATTTGTCTATGTAGGTACATATATATGTTATGTCCAGCCCCTTGTCTGCAAACTATAGTGTATATAGACAAGTATAAATATGCCTCTACACTACATCTGTTCTTTGTAGGTAGAGACATATTTATGCTTGTCGACTTTTTTAACCGAAACTGCATTACATATTTTTACCTACTCAATTTATATTTAACACTTGTCATAATCAAGTAATAAACAATCTTATACTTAATGCTTAGGTGCGTCATCATTATATCAGTCTTAAACTGTCCATTGCTGACCTCCACATGATTCCCCCCGGAAACTATAGTGATTAATTTTAGTGGAATTTGCCACGATTGGCTAACTGACATGCTTTTTCATCCTCACTTATCATCCCTCACTGGTGTAGTAGTACTGGTGGTGGATACAGTTCACTACCGAATTGGAAAAAGATGGATAGTTATGGTTTCTAGATGTTAGAGTTATTAGCGAACTAAGTGAAAAAGTCTATATCACTTTCTCTCTCTTTCTCTCTGAAAAATCAGTGAATATGTGAGCTATATATTATTTTCGAAAATTTTATTCATCCATCGAAACCATGCCGGATCACTAGGATCAAATAAATTCCAAAACTGCGCTTTTCGAAAAAATAAGACACATTATTAATAGATACATAATTAAAACACCTATAAATAAATACCATCTTATACCTATCTATTAATGCAGTTCATATACCACTGAAATGCATATTTTGTTGCTCTATATAAGTAAACTTATCGAGAGATAAAGTATAAAATAACATTTTAGAGAGAGAAAGAGAAATAATGGCATATACAAGATGGCGGCTGCGTGGGCCGGGCCAATAAAGAATTGTCTAACGCCCACCGCAGAATATGGGCGTAGCTTTATACTATGCGCAAATAACTACAAGTTTGAGAAAATAATCATCAATATACTAATATACTAATGATAGGAGAAGGATACAGTATTGATCTTAAACAACCTACAAATTCTTTTTTAACTTATTTTATTTTTATAACTAAAATGTTTGTCCACTTTACGAAACAACTGCCTAAACCTTGGTGTGACATAAGTACCTAATAATAATTAATCTACATATACACTAATATTATAAAGAGGAAAGAGTTGTATTTTTGTGTGTATATTTGTAATAAATAAACTCAAAAACTTCTTCACCGATTTCAAAAATTCTTTAGAAAGCTACATTCACCCTGAGTAACATAGGCTATATTTATTGCTAGAAAAGATTAGGGATCCTTACTAAAACTTTAGTAACCTAACTCAAGGTGTAAAAAATGCTATAAATTATATATCGTCACGTGCGCTGCGGAAACTATTGGTGATAGAACAAAAGTATGTTTTACTATCTCTGATTAGCACATAGATGATGATGATATCAAACAACATAAAATTAAATGATCTTGAGAGTACTTCACAAATAGATAACATTTTCCAGCATGCCATACATTTTTTGTGGAACACATACCTAGGTGTATGGGGTAAATTACTTCCCTCCGAAAAGAGTGACTTTCCGGTGACTTTTATCTGTACCGCAATAACATAGGTTATTAATACTTTAGACAATCTTCAATAAAAGATAAATGCCGTATTCTTTCGATAATCCGTTAGTCTGTGAAATGGCAGATTATTCAGTCACAGAATACTTACCCTCTTATATTTTATTATTTAAATATTTTGCCTTTACCTCTGCTGGTACGATAAGGCTGTTACATTACTGTAGCGTCCAGCAACTGAGGCATTAATGGACGAACGTGCAAATGTGGGCCAAGGCGTTACCGAGGCACACATACATGAGTCCATCAATGCCTAGTTGTGGCCAAGGCTAGTATAGTACTTTTCTCAAACAATGCGCGGAAATCAAAAACACAATTTTACTTTTTAAGTTCAATGACGAATAACGAACAATAATAACTTTTCAGGCGCCATAACGTTTTTTTGTTTTTTTTTTCAATAAACAGTTTTCTATTTGCAAGCCAGTTCGAAATTTAAATAAAACCTTTTATTAGTTACCTCCTTGGAAGCCATGTATCGAAGTAAAAGGTCATTCCATTTTTAAATTACAGGAAAGATATGAGTTTACATAGTAATTTATCTGCTGCATAACACGACAGATATGGATTTTCATACAACTTTTTTTTAAGGATTTTAAATAAAAAAGATTGATTTTTTTTGTATATACTGTTCTTTGTAAAATAATCCCTAATTAAAAAAACTTTGTTAATTAAAAATGCAATTAAGTACAATATTTTGTATTTATTCGACCAATTTTTTATCTTTAAACTGAATTTATCGGAAACTTCTGAAGATTCTGAATAAAATTTTTCCTTTGTTATTAACTGAACTCCGAATGAAATATTATTGTTAGAAGATCTCTTTTTTAAGATAAATCAGTGTACAAGCATCTCATATAAATAAATCTTAATTATAATTTAAATTTATTTATTTTATTTTTAAAAGCTGGAATGTTGAAAATAATAGTTTGTTAGGTATTATACATAATGTGTCATTTAAAATGTACGGCATTATATTTTTTTTTTTTTTTATTTTCTAATATTACTCCTCATATTACTCCAAGAACATTTGAAAAATCTTATAAATCTCGGAAAATTCATATTTTTTTATTCTAATATTTTTATTTGTTATCATTTATAATGAACGGCTATAAGGTACAACGGTAATATTTAGATTAAAAGAAAGATTATAAGAATTAAAAAAAGTTGCCGTACATGAGTTTATGACCTTACAGCCCTAATAACTCGGTAAATCCTCTAATTTTGATAATTATTTATTTACACAAATATTGACAATATTTTTTTGGACGGCATAATTATTAAACATTATTGTCCGTGTTAAATAATATTTTAAACATTTTACAATGACCTTATATTATATGGGTGTAGGGAAAAGGTTGCAACCCATGGTTTTAGACTCCTGCGCTGGAAATATGTAAGGCGTTCATGGGTAAAGTATCTGTGTATGTATACAAAAGGAGTTACACAAATGCCGTACCTAAAATAAATGACCCATTTTGCTTCTTCAATTGTCGGCGAATTAAAAAATTGCACTGACATCCGGCACCGCCACTTTAGTACAGCACTAGGTTTTTTGACATTTATTTTTAATCGTCTATAAACTATAAGAAAGCCGTACATTAATAATTAGTAATACCACCAATTTCCATTACCCACTCGTACCTAGGAAATTCCATTTATTTGCGTACTAACCTGTACCGCTCAGAAATAACGGCATAGTGCTCAGAGTTATTTTCTGGTATAGTAACAACCTTATAAGCGTTATTCACGTTGGGTCATTTCGCAAGTTTTTTTTTTCCATGGGCTTGTAGTCTACAACTGAATTGAAGTAGTGATAAATTATCTTGTGGTAGATTTATCTGCATGTTCTATCGTTAATATTTTAATTTGCTATTAAAACACATTTTAAATAAGGAAGAGTAGAAATTATTTAATTATTTTATTCTATATTATTTTTTCTAAAATTGACAGATATCACAGACACTGCCACATTAATGATATGAAATAAATACTTTCTAAAAGAGCTTTTTAATGAGGGGTCTTAAAAATTAATGATATATTCCTGGTGTCTCGGGTATCTTTTTTTATCTTCTATTTTCAAGATTATTCAATAAAAAGCAAAGCATATAATAATATATAAATATTTATTCTTTAATGTTTATTTATACTCTAATGTTTATATTACATCATTGTGTTCTCTTTGAGAACCTTTAGATTATAATTTGACATATTTACATAAATATACAAATCTTAAATATTACAATTGTCGTGATTTAGCTAGCCAAAAATACCTTCATAGGTGACTTTTAATTTTAGTTCATTTTTATTTTATTAAAATATTTTATTTTATATCAGTCTTGCCTAATTTTAATAGTAACTCTCGTAATATATATTTTTACATGTACATTGAAACAAAACTAATATAAGTATTACATCCAATGCATAGTAATACAAGGCCTTTATTCCTACTATCTATTACTATGACAATAAATTGATACGTACAAATTAAAAAAATACAAATAATAATAAAAATAAAATATAAAAAATCACTCCTTTAGACATTAAGGTATTAATTAATAACTATTAAGGTATTCACAAATCCGACAACTTTTCTTTAATTATCTTTATACATGATAGGATGTCTTCGCTGTCTGCAACCATGTCTTGCAGCTTATCTTTGGTGTAAATTAATACATCCTTCTCTAAATGTCCCTTCTTGAGAGCCATTATGCAAAAAGCAATTAGCGCTTCGAAGCACTGCTTCCTACAGGCATTATGTGCCTGATGATCCCACACAGGTGTAGCTCTGACGTATTTCCAGGCTAGTAAAACATATTTAATAACAGACTCCCAGTGTTGAGACTCCACTAAGACTTTTCCCTGTTCCACTAAACACTTCTTAAAAGCTGCTAGGTGAGTAGAAGTACGCGAGTAAGCCAACAAATCGGTTTTAGAAGCCGACCGCAATGTTCGGAGCCCTTTATAAATATTTGATTTTAAATATAGAAGCCTCTGCTTGAACGGCGACAAATCCGGAACCGGCATGTCTTTTCTGATCTCGTATTCGATCTCTGGATGTTTGTAAGTGACAGATGTAATTATATCAATCAGTTGATTAGGACTTAAACCTTTCAATGCCACATCAAAAGGTCCATTATTATCTATTGTTTTCTCTAGCCTTGTTTTTTTAATTGGCGGTGTTGATTTAATGGGACTGCTTATTTCGAATTTTTGCAGTGTGCTAATATCACTGAAATCTATCTTCTCTGGTGTCAAAAGTATTCTTTCGGAGTCCCCGAACAGTAAGCGTTTTCGGACATGTGAATTGACTTCTAATTTCGGCGGAGAAAGGCAGCTCGAGTTTTTCTGCGGTGTTCGAACAATTGAGTAGTTTGTGGAGTTTGTTTTCAATTCAATATCCGGCGACCTCGAGGTAGCAAGACATTCATGATCTGAATTAAGAGAAAGTTAATTACACAATTGTCATATATAACGATAGTATATAACAACAAAATGAGAAACAATCACATTGAAACATATAAAAACAAGTCATCCTCATCATATCAGCTTTTAACTGTCTACTGCTGAACATAAGTCTCCCCCTGGGGAAGTTTTGCCAGTAGTTGGCAGGCGAATTGGTATCCCTCGTCTTTCTTTAGTTACCTCTTACGAGAGCCACGGGTAAAGAAGGGGCCTGGCCTATTCTATGCCGGGATCATACGGGATTAAAACAAATATAAACAATATACTTATTCTTGATATCATTAGTATAGAACCAACACAACAGTTAAACACAGCAGTAGACTAGACTTTTTAAAGTTACATATAAAAAAAACTAGTAGGTCTATAAATTAGTTTATAATTTGATATATGAATCAGTTATAGTTAGAGCAAATTTTTTTTTGTTCATCACAAATTTGCTTACCTTTTTGTTGCATAATTATCTCATCAGGCAAGGACGTCGAACGAAGGTAGCTGGACGGCAGAGCTGACGAGCGTTCCCTAATTAGCATGATCGACTGTGAGATTGCGACCCGGAGCCGATCCATTCGAGCGGTGATATTGCCCAGGGCTGCTTGAGAATGGTGCCGGCTCTCCGGTGTGATCGTTCCCTCCATTGCTCTTCACAACAAAATAAGAAGTCAATTACTAAAAATAAATAGGCATGTAGCTCAATGACGGCTACTATCGATGCAACAAGCATTGAGGCCTGGCTACCAATCTAATCAACCCATAGCTTAAGGCCATATAGATATATCTTCACGTAGGTACATAACAGATATTTAGGTCGACCCCCCCCCACACACACACTGATTTTCATCTGTACTATGAATGTGATAACTATTATTCCGTGAATGATTATAATGCAGAACACAACTATTTCATGAAAAATGATCAAAATTGCTATAATTCTAATATTATTAATTCTAAGATATAATTACCTTATGGAACTTCAACCGTCAACTTGCGTTATCGACTTTCCCAAATGGAGGAAGAAATAAAAATTAATGTCAAATAGAAATTGATATGCACACTTAAAGACAATCGCACTCACAAATTTTATTATTTAATATTATATATTGTAATCGTGATAACTAGGTATATTTATTAATTTAATAAACGAACACTAGTACACTCTTCACAAGATACTATTGGCAAATGATATTGGTTTCACAGCTACAGTCCCTTATATACATTCAAAATATTGAAAATTAGATAATTAGTGAAAGGTGTTTAAGATATTGACAATAATAGGGGTCTTTTGAAAAAGGAGTTCTGAAGGGATCTATTTCTCATTAGCTATTGTAACTAATGACTGTAACAATTATATTCAATTATAGTAATTATTTACTAATTTGATGATAACGCTTAAATAGTAAATGGGTCCCAAACAAAATAACATTAACGTTTTGTGTAATTGTATTATTTACATTCGCGTCTTAGAAAAATAAACAAGCTAATAATAATCGGGGATAGTGCAACTGCAAATTCGCGTTACTAACAAACAATAATTCCGTGTACCTAATAGGTTTTATTTGGGGGGAAAGGGATTGTTAGTAATGGAGACTAAGAATCCTATTGCTAGCAATATACCCAAATAGGTCGACCTCCTCGCGGTTCCCCCTGGAAACTATCATGATTAATTTCAGATGAATTCATCATGATGGGCTAACTGGCCTGTTTTCATCCTCATCGATCACCCTTCACTGGTACCCTGCCAGCGTACTCCATTATCTGGCGCAGGCGGGGTTACCATTCCATTTTCATCCAATGAAAAAAAAACCCACAACTTACATGCCATATAGGTATGTCTTCACGTAGAATACATAACAGATATTTAGGTCGTCTCCATTATTAACAATCCCCCCCCCCCCACACACACACTGATTTTCATCTGTACTATGAATGTGATGTTACAATATTTATAAATTATAATATTAACTACAGGAATATTCCGTGAATGATTATAATGCAGAAAAAACACAACTATTGATCATGAAAAATGATCAAAATTGCATACAATTAAGACTTAAAATTAATTATTTCTCTGTCAAAAAACGAATAAATTGCATATAAATTGCTAATGAGTATAATTAATTCTAAGAGTATAATTACCTTATGTAACTTCAACCGTCAACTTGCGTTATCGACTTTTCCAAATGGAGGAAGAAATAAAAATTAATGTCAAATAGAAATTGATATGCACACTCAAATACAGTCGCCACTCACAAATTTTATTATTTAATATTATATATTATAATCGTGATAACTAGGTATATTTATTAATTTAATAAACGAACACTAGTACACTCCTCACAAGATACTATTGGCAAATGATATTGGTTTCATAGCTACAGTCCCTTATTTCAAATCGTCCCTTATATACATTCAAAATATTGAAAAATAGATAATTAGTGAAAGGTGTTAAGATATTGACAATAATGGGGGTCTTTTGAAAAAGGTGTTCTGAAGGGATCTATTTCTCATTAGCTATTGTAACTAATGACTGTAACAATTATATTCAATTATAGTAATTATTTACTAATTTGATGATAACGCTTAAATAGTAAATGGGTTACAAACAAAATAACATTAACGTTTTGTGTAATTGTATTATTTACATTCTACGCGTCTTAGAAAAATAAACAAGCTAATAATAATCGGGGATAGTGCAATTGCAAATTCGCGTTACTAACAAACAATAATTCCGTGTACCTAATAGGTTTTATTTGGGGGTGTGATGGTCCCCCCCTTTGCACCCCTTATAATAACTACCCTCTAAACTAATCTACACATGGAAAACCTACAAAGCCTAAGAAAAGCCTACGTAGGCTTAACCTAATGAAATCTATGAAAATCTAATGAAAACTTACCAAAGAATGGCCTAACACCCTCAATATAACCCCATATCTATATTGCCTTATACACCCCAAACATCCTATGAATCATATAAACCCTTACAATAAACACTTAATATTGAACAGATCTTATAGTAGAACACTTGATCATCTGGCCAGATAAATAAATGTGTGATCGTCTAGTAATGTAGGACCCGTTGTGTGTGTAATAACCAAAAGGTTCTTTAATTGGTATATGATAGGAGTTAAATAATGAAGATGATTGATAAATCTTTAAGGATTAAGAATAATTAATGAATTATACTCATAATTCATGTAACAAGGAAGTTATGTTAATTTAATAATAAATTACAGAATAACTGTAATAATAAAAAAATGGGGGAGCGGTCGGGCCCCTCACACGCCCGGACCAGTGGAAGACTTTCCAACTATCTATAACTCTTCCTCCTGAAAGGTAGGGATGGGTATTACTATTTATTAATGCACTCTGATGGTAATAAGGGAATGAGTATTCTCAGTTCCAAACCAAACATAAGTACATTTACTTCAATATTACAGTGGCTCCACCAGCCCCACGATGCTTCCAGTATAAATTAATGTTTGCCAGAGGCAAAAGGATCGGAACTGAAATCCCAGGATCACTCCGACACGAGAGCTTACTCATGGGCGATGACCCTTTCAGTCCTATATGGCGAAATAGAGATCACCCACTAACAGTACGAAACTGTTTCCCAGCATCACCCTGTTACGAGCTTACTCAATGGGGGTTTCCCTTCGGCTCCACAAGAGATCAGACCAAGAAGCGAGATCACCCAGACACCAGAACCTACTTTGATGGGACATAACCCTTCGGCCCTATAATGTGACATTAGAGATCACCTGTGAAGACAGTCCGATAGAAATGAAGATTTGTGTGATAGGGGATACCTTCCACACCCTGGAATTGGCCAAGCCATATAATGTTGATAATTGCTATATCATAACATAGCATTGTCAATTTAATATTATTTACTTAATACCAAGAATACTCAAGGTTCAAGTTAAATCTGTTGATTAGGCCGGAGCCTAAGAACGAGTAGTCCAACCCATAGGTCGAGAGCTACTAAAAGTAATGAGTGCTATTGAATGAACTATAAGTCCAGTCAATTATGTATAATATTATTGTTGATTATCCACATTGTGAATTAACCAATTATTTATTCAGAGAGATATATCTAAAGGAACTATAAGTCCTTTAAAAGACACTGATTAATCACAAGTTAACAACGTCTCGTAAAATAACCAGTTGGGTTTTCTATAAGTTTGAGGACACTAAGTCCAACAAGCTATTATTGTGTTGAGAGTAATAGAGATCTTTTGTAATATTTGTAGAGGTTTGATTAATCACATTGTGAAATAATCAGATTAATAAATTATGTAGCTTTATAGAGAGGACTATAAGTCCTAATTGGTTGTTGACGTAAGTACTGATAAATTACACATTAAAGTGCCAGGTCAATTATTATATATAGGTATATAGGAAGGACAATAAGTCCTATTTGTGTATGTTGAGTAGTAGATGTATATTGAATAATTATAATGTAAAAGATATATATTAAATATATATTTGTATAGAAAGGACAGTAAGTCCCATACAATTATTGTAGCTGTACTATAGTTATACTATATCTACTTCCTTTTAGTGTCTTAGTAAACCTATTTACTAAGAGGATTTCTCAGATAAACAAGTGTTTTAGTGTTTAAATCATCATGATTAAATCCCTAAGAAATTAGGTCTTTAAATAATTATCATATCATTTAAGTGAAATTTCTCATATAAATAATTCCAATATTTCCCCTACAGTTATTATAAAATAACAGAAAATTATATAAATTTTCTATAGACTTAGATATAGAATCATAACGTGTATAATCTCCTTTTGTTTGACATCTGTCACATTAATGACGTATTGAATGACGTATTGATGTATTGAATTGAATTTTGATTATCTATCACAACTGTCAACGTAACAAATACTAGCAAGTTTGTTTATTTGTATTTGTTTAATATAATTAAATATAAAATCATCATATATCAACCGTAATATACAACTAAATTATCAGTGACATAAATAATCATGGTTTACACCAGAAATAATTAATAGTATCCAGTAATGCTGCAGTTTTATATTCATATCAGTAGCCAAGCTTACTTTCAAATTCAAGAATGAACAGAAGATTAGAAGTTTAACATTCTTATTGCAATTGTACTTGCAATAATATATACATACAGTACTAATTATCAAGAACATTCCTCAAATACATGAGTGGTGAAGATTTCCCAATATGCTATCTATTTGATTCCTAACCTCTAATGTAAATTTATTAAAGAAGTGAATAATCAGTGTTAGTGTTTGCTTTATTAATATTTAAAGTAATTGTCCTAACTTGATATTAATAGGATAATATCTCCTTGGATACAGTCCGACATAAACATATAACTCAATAATTAAATTTATAAAATACTAATATTATATTTTACTACTTGTATATCTCCATACTATTCCCATAAAATATTCAAAACATGTATATTAAATATAAATCCAGTAAATATTCACTAATATTAACCCTGTCCGAACTTGTCTAGTCAATATAACATGAACAAACAACATACATACAAACCCCATCGCCAGGACAACTTCCTTTCTAAATATGAGCAAAATACATAGCCTCACAAGTGTCATACAGTACCAATTCCATACCGAACCCCACACCTAGTCAAGAGCAACTATAGTCAGAGAATCTTTCAGTACTTTTATTACCATTAGGAAATAAATCCACACCTATAATATCAGCATAATTAAATATTATTAGTAATCAGTAATACACACAGAATTGTTATTATCAGCTTGCTTACTACAACAAAATCAATATTAAAGTTTATAATAAATCAAGACAAAATATCTATTTAAACAATACAGGCTTGTTTACCATAAACACCCCACAGTCACATGAATTTATTTAGTAACACAATTAATAATGTATTAAAAGTATTACATTCACATAATATCACTTGCAACAGTTAAGCTGTCTCTTTGTACATCTGGTGTAAAACAAATCCCCACATGTAGTCATGGATAATCAAATATAGACTAAGAATCATTAATCTGGTCGACTGAGTAATGGTATAAAAACACTTCACCATGAAGCGTTAAGTATGAACAGATATTCCAAACCAACACTGTAATTGTGTAATAAATACAAATATTTCATCATCATCATCGTCTCAACCATCACCAACCCACGACTGAACACAGGCAATTTCCACCGACTGACACAAGGAACGGCCCCACAATACACATAAAACAGTCACTCCAAACAATGGAGGTAGCCCACACCGCACTTGCATTTACAGGGTCGCCACTCAATAACCCCTCTCTCTCATCAATGGCTGTTTCCCCAGCAATGAGACCAGACCATAGTCACTTTAGTCTATTATCCTCAATAAATAAATACTTTATAATAACTAGATATGAAACTAGTTAGTATTGTAATAGTTCAATAGTTGATTCAATAAGTATTTTCCAAAACTGGACAATTAGAACATTGAATCAAATTGATGAAGTTCTATCAAACGACCATATAATTGGATTTTGTATATGAGTAGAATAACGTAAGTACGTAAATTATATTGATGTAAATTTTGTTCAAATGTGATTGCATTTAACGATATACGCATTACCTAAAGGTATATGGACTCGACTAAATACGTATTTTAATAGTTTTTGGGAAAAATATTAAGTATAGACTTTGCCTGTGATCACAGTCAAAAATCTAACTACGTAGTAATAAATGGAACAAGCTCACCGCATTCTCCAGTCTTCTATTGATTAATTTCACACACTTAATCGATAGTGATACACTAAGATCTCAAACCCCTTCATCGATCCAGTCCCTCCTAGATCTATATCCCAGTTATTTTTTTTATTTTATTGCGCAATCCCTAAAACACGACTCCCGCGCCATTTACCGTCCTTTCCTCACCTAGTAACGTCATAGATTATGTCACCGAAGGGTAGATATTTCAATAATCGGATTTAGCCTATTATTCGAACTGAACTTTTCTTTAAATTCAATTTAATTATATGTTAACGTATTTTGGTATTTTCTATTAAATTGATTATCGAATTTATAAAACTTTAAAGGCCCTCATAAACCTTATTAAACTGTGTTGTATGCATCCTTTTTACACCTGATGAGAAAAAGGTAAACTATAATTTGGTTAATATAAAATATAATATATTTTTGTTTAATTTATTTAATTTTCTTGTGACGTCCACTACACTTTGGAAACACATCAAAGGAGTTTCCCTTCTGTGTCAATATTTCATATATGGTAACGTCTTCTCTGTATACTATTGTGAACCTTGACTTTAAAGTTTGTTTATATTAAATAGCTCAGCTTTCGCAGCGGCCACCCATAGGAACCCCTGTTTCTTTTCTATGTACTTATATGATAT